GATAGGAGGCCTGTAGCTTGCATCTGCTTTTCGCTGCTGAGGTGTACAGTATGGGGACCGATGCAACCGGCATCAAGTGAGAGGAGGCCTGTAGATTGCATCTGCTTTTCCTTGCTGAGGTGTACAGTATGTGGACCGATGCAACCGACATCAAGCGAGAGGAGGCCTGTAGCTTGCATCTGCTTTTCCTTGTTAAGGTCTACAGTTTAAGGACCGATACAACCGGCATCAAGCGAGAGGAGGCCTGTAGCTTGCATCTGCTTTTCGCTGCTGAGGTGTACAGTATGGGGACCGATGCAACCGGCATCAAGCGAGAGGAGGCCTGTAGATTGCATCTGACTTTCCTTGCTGAGGTGTACAGTATGGGGTCCGATGCAACCGACACCAAGCGAGAGGAGGCCTGTAGCTTACGTCTGCTTTTCCTTGCTGAGGTGTGCAGTATGGGGTCCGATTCAACCGACATCAAGCGAGAGGAGGCCTGTACCTTAGGTCTGCTTTTCCTTGCTGAGGTGTACAGTATGTGGACCGATGCAACCGACACCAAGCGAGAGGAGGCCTGTAGCTTGCATCTGCTTTTCCTTGTTCAGGTGTACAGTATGGGGTCCGATACAACCGGCATCAAGCGAGAGGAGGCCTGTAGATTGCATCTGACTTTCCTTGCTGAGGTGTACAGTATGGGGTCCGATGCAACCGACACCAAGCGAGAGGAGGCCTGTAGCTTACGTCTGCTTTTCCTTGCTGAGGTGTGCAGTATGGGGTCCGATGCAACCGACATCAAGCGAGAGGAGGCCTGTACCTTAGGTCTGCTTTTCCTTGCTGAGGTGTACAGTATGTGGACCGATGCAACCGACACCAAGCGAGAGGAGGCCTGTAGCTTGCATCTGCTTTTCCTTGTTCAGGTGTACAGTATGGTGTCCGATACAACCGGCATCAAGCGAGAGGAGGCCTGTAGATTGCATCTGCTTTTCCTTGTTCAGGTGTACAGTATGGGGACCGGTACAACCGACGTCAGGCGAGAGGAGGCCTGTAGCTTGCATCTGCTTTTCCTTGCTGAGGTGTGCAGTATGGGGTCCGATACAACCGACACCAAGCGAGAGGAGGCCTGTAGCTTGCGTCTGGTTTTCCTTGTTGAGGTGTACAGTATGGGGTCCGATGCAACCGACACCAAGCGAGAGGAGGCCTGTATCTTAGGTCTGCTTTTTGCTGCTCAGATGTGCAGTATGGGGTCCGATACAACCGACATCAAGCGAGAGGAGGCCTGTAGCTTGCATCTGCTTTTCCTTGCTGAGGTGTGCAGTATGGGGTCCGATACAACCGACATCAAGCGAGAGGAGGCCTTTAGCTTAGGTCTGCTTTTCCTTGCTGAGGTGTACTGTATGGGGACCGATACAACCGACATCAAGCGAGAGGAGGCCAGTAGCTTGTATCTGACTTTCCTTGCTGAGGTGTACAGTATGTGGACCGATGCAACCGACATCAAGCGAGAGGAGGCCTGTAGCTTGCATCTGCTTTTCCTTGTTGAGGTGTGCAGTATGGGGTCCGATACAACCGACGTCAAGCGAGAGGAGGCCTGTAGCTTAGGTCTGCTTTTCCTTGTTGAGGTGTACAGTATGGGGTCCGATACAACCGACATCAAGCGAGAGGAGGCCTGTAGCTTTTATCTGACTTTCCTTGCTGAGGTGTACAGTATGGGGTCCGATGCAACCGACACCAAGCGAGAGGAGGCCTGTATCTTAGGTCTGCTTTTTGCTGCTGAGGTGTACAGTATGGGGTCCGATGCAACCGACACCAAGCGAGAGGAGGCCTGTAGCTTGCGTCTGATTTTCCTTGTTGAGGTGTACAGTATGGGGTCCGATGCAACCGACACCAAGCGAGAGGAGGCCTGTATCTTAGGTCTGCTTTTTGCTGCTCAGATGTGCAGTATGGGGTCCGATATAACCGACGTCAAGCGAGAGGAGGCCTGTAGCTTGCATCTGCTTTTCCTTGCTGAGGTGTGCAGTATGGGTTCCGATACAACCGACGTCAAGCGAGAGGAGGCCTGTAGCTTGTATCTGACTTTCCTTGCTGAGGTGTACAGTATGGCGTCCGATGCAACCGACATCAAGCGAGAGGAGGCCTGTAGATTGCATCTGACTCTACTTGCTGAGGTGTACAGTATAGGGTCCGATGCAACCGACACCAAGCGAGAGGAGGCCTGTAGATTGCATCTGCTTTTCCTTGTTGAGGTGTACAGTATGATGCCCGATACAACTGACATCAAGCGAGAGGAGGCCAGTAGCTTAGGTCTGCTTTTCGCTGCTGAGGTGTACAGTACAGAGAGGAGATAATGTACCAGGTGCCGACGAAATGCAGGTGTACTGTTTGAACAGTTCTGATAATGTACCAGGTGCCAACTTGTGTAGCAGAGATTTCTTGTGTGAACATTTTGGGAGTGAGTTGGTGAAATTATTCCCCTGATCACATGTGCTGATTATGCAGTACATGTAGTAATTAGAAGTGCTACAACAGCTGCTGTCAACAATGGATTCAGAGAAGTGAGGTCTTGGCATCGTGGACACTATCCTACTGATTATTTGAAGCTTGATGTACTTTTTGCTACAACTGTGTAAGCGATACGATGCCTGTGATATATACTCCCGACTTTCATCATAATCGTTTTGTTGTAGTGACAGTCTGAACATACCATCAGTGTGGGCGAAATGTTAGCCATAGATTTTTCAGTGTTTTGTTCTGTACCACTAACAATTTATTGACGATTAATTGATGAATTAGTCTTGCCGTGAGAGGCGACTAACGGGATCGGGTGGTAAGGATCGCTGAGTTATTAACATATTTTATGTTTTTTGTCATGTCCTTAATGTAAAGCTTTTGTATTTGACAAGCTTCATTCAAAGCTTCTATAGGTTTTCAGCAACACATGCTTGCCGTAAAAGGTGACTATGCCTGTCGTAAGAGGCGACAAACGGGAACGGGTGGTCAGGCTCGCTGACTTGGTTGATGCATGTCATCGTATCCTAATTGCGTGGATCAATGCTTGTGACGTCAATCACTGGATTGTCTGATCCAGACTCGATTATTTACAGACCGCCGTCATATAGCTGGAATATTGCTGTGTACGGCATTAAACAACAAACTAACAATTAATCAATGTCTCTCTCTTTTCAGGCGGGTCTCTAGAAACAGGCATGGCACATCCATGACGAGCTTCAGAACCAAATGTGACCGATCGATCCCCGGTCGCGTCGAACCAAAAGACGTTATAAGATGGTACTTGTTGTTACTGTGTCTGGCCCTCGGCATTAAGGAACTAAAACAAGGACTGGTCGGCTCGGAGTCAGTATACTGTGTCTAAGTGGGGTATTCATGTTAAACTGGTATGGTATCTCAGTGAGCTAGCACTATAAATCCGCACCTGTCCGGACTAGTACAAGCAGCCACACACACACACACCACTCGCCCCTTTCCGTAACCTGCAAGCTGTTCGGCTTGTCCCGGAATATCACGAGTTGGTCACGAATGCGAATGTCGGCTCTGTTTACATGTGTTAGCTCGGTCCCACAATGCACTTGTGGAATGTTTCGTGTCTCGTGATTCAAACTTACATTCACATCCTTCCTTTTGCTGCCTGTGTTTTATCGATAATCTCACACTGATCGGATACTAAATATAGGACTTAGTAATCCACATATTACCCACATTGGTGGTGTTTTAGTATTTCGAAAACGCTAACTTTGTCTCTAAACGATACGGTACCGGCAATTAGGTGTAACAGCCCGTCAGTTGGTCCTGTTCAAGGATTTTCAATGTACGACATAGCTTATTACAGCTTTCATTTTAAACCATTCTCCAAAAAACACACTGTTAGTCTTTAACTCGGCATCTTAGAAAGTAACACAGTTTGCTCGCTGAATACATTGTTTATTCCTGGGAATAATCTTCCCATAACATTCGCATGATAACCTGTATATACTTACAAAGAATTACAAATATGCAGAGGATGTTCCGTTTGTCAAGTAAAAAAACATGTTTCTCTCATCTCGTGACGGGGAAAGGAGATATTTTCATGAGGTGATAGAAAAATGATGTTTCACTCGACACATAAAATATCCTATTTATTTTATACTTTTTGTGTACTGAATTATTTCATTACAACCAAGTAACGTAAATTCTCCCTCATTAACTCGCAGGGACGTTTCACTATTGTTTGTAGGTGCGACCTGAAAAGTAGTTCCGTCTTTGTAAAATATAACCAAACGTACCCCCAAAACATATTTTATGTCAATATATAGACACTGCTGTTCAGTATATTTGACTGTTCTTTTGATAATGATAGCAATTATCCCTGTAGTTTATCCAGATTCCCGATGGTTAATTCTGACTCGATCGCCGAATGACGAGGGCGACGCCATGTTTGTTTCTAAACAGTGAAAGTAGTCCCTACTTGACCTTTGATATTTGCATCTCTAGCCGCATATGACCCCAACGGATATCGTTTTTATCCGTTGGCTTTATCCTGCCGAGAAACCCACACATTATATGATAAACTCTTTATCATACATTTAGATATCATCATATACAAAATCAACTTCAGCAAAAAGATATTCTGGAAATTTACGAGATGGTTGTTGGAAGCGAAAGAATACACGCTTACAATAATGACGCTTTGGAAAATGAACAGTCTCTATTGACGTGTTACAGGAGAAATTTACAGCTTATAGCGAAACAAGAGAATAACGAACAGCAAGAAGAGATATTAACTCCATAAATGAACATCTGTCATTATTTTGCCTTGCCAATGTGGAATGAACGCAAATAGGAAGTCAGCAGTCTGTGTAAGGTGACCCTATCAAGACAATCGTTCCATCAAAGTGTTATCTTCACTTAAGTGCCATGTTCACTGCAATGCAATTATTACTTTTCTCGATTTCAGAAAACTAAGTCTTTCACACTGAAGCATATAAACAGAAAGATTCACAAGGAAAACTTTTAAATATACTCACAGAGAGTGGTCCGAATGCATAACAGTAGAAACAACAGATGTCTCAAAAGCCCAATTTCTGCCATGGTGATAGCTGAACCGGATTGTCACTGACGTGTGTTAACTGTGACAGCCTGCACTACCAGATAATTTAATTTATATCCCAGTTCTAATTCTGACATACAGTTCCGGATATAACCCACTTTAGGTATTTCCTGTATGATGGGACACTTCCGATAAAGGCTACGACTTGCAATGTTCGTGTGACGTAATACGGAGTAAGAGTTATGCCCCTTATTGTTTTTAGTGATGGTTCAAAATTAAAGCTGGATTTTATCAGGTCTTTCAAAGAACATTTCTTCGTTTTTTTAACAATATTTCATTTTACAGAGAGAGTCCACCTGTTTCTTTACGTTAGACAACATTGTCCCGTACATTTGGCATAAATTCAAGAAACCAGTTACATCTAAGTTAAACTTATGACAAGGCGGTCTTTATACATACTTCCTTGTGAGTATAAATCTCAAGTCCACCACACAATTGAAAAATATGTTATATATATTATATTCATATCAATAATACTGGTAGATACTGCTGATCAGAATAATAACAGGATATACTGAAATTATGATTGTAATGATTGCAACAAATCCTTAATAATATTAAAATGAAAAAGACACCCCAGTATTGGATATATAGAGCATATTATATGAGTGTTGATGTCATACTATGCTCACGACGTGAGTGTCTAAATTCCAGTATTTCCCGTGAGCATTGATCACCAGCGTTGTCCTTGAAAACCACAATTTGTAAATGACGTCAACAATTCTTCGGCTATGACGCCGTTTCCAATGTGACATCATTCCGACCTCACGTCTGAATACGATTCGAATGACGTCAATTATGACGTCCGGGTGACGGAAACAATACACTGTTGTCTAGGGCATATATGATTTTTATGAACTCTGATATGTTCGCCCTCGTGGGTAATAAGCATGTTTATCCCCTACGAGGACGGCATTGCTGACGTCACTCTAATCATATTGTGACGTGATGTCGGAATGACGCCACACTAGAAACGACGTCATAGTTGGAGATTGTTGACGTCATTTACAAATTGTGGTTTTCTAGGACAACGGTGGTGCTCATGGGGCCGTTTTCGCGGGCTTGACCAGAAAAATGGTCATGACAAGAAACGTGGTTTATCGTTTTCGCGTTGCGGTCATGTGACCGCCCGGTCGTTCGGTCATGAAAACACACAACCGCGGTCACGACCCGGTTGTCAGCCCAAACAATATGGCGTCGACGACGTTTCATCTTGTGCCGCTAGCACTTTCCGAAGAAGAATCTGGCATCAAATACAAGTTATTGGTACCTCCTGATGTCGTACAGAGGTGCAGACAAGGTGAGGGTAGCAGAATGTTAACTTTATCAAGAATTAGGAAGGTGGACATGTTGAAATGCATCATATTTGTTGTCGTCTTGGGGCGGGGCTGAAGGCGGGACAGTCGTCTGCCATCTGTAGGCCCTGTATTTATATCTCGCACGCATGAGTGTGTGAATTAAATGGGTTAATTTTTTAAGAAAACAAAGTGAGGTTACATATAGACACTTTGTATGTAGATTTATGTATAAATCATCAGGTAGGTGTCCACAAACGGCACGATGAATGCTGTCACTAGTGTCAGTACGGACCGCTCGCAAAAACAATTAATGGAAATAGCCGGGCTCGCACAGGCTGATTATCATATTATCATTAGGCCTAAATCTAATGTTATTAATTCACTAGATCTACTTGTTACATGAGGTTCACCACACACAAAGCAAATGTTGGATGTATTCTCTGTAAACAAAGCGAGAGACACGTCCTGTCGATCTATAACTGGAAAATGGAACCTAATAATAATATATATAATGTGAAACAATATAGATCTAAAATGACAATGGTATTTTTTACCAGATCAACACTGCACACGTGGAAACTATAGAAAACACAAATGTGAAATATCTGCCTTGAATCTAACTGTTTGCAAACATGTCAATTTAGCCTATATATAAAAATATAAAATTATCTACCAGGTTTATTTGAATACTCACCCCCCCCCCCCCCCCCCCCCCAATTAAATCAAACTGAAAAATAAAACATAAAAAGATCCAGATGCAGTTCTTTCATCCTTTATTTTGGAGAGGGTGAAGAGCAGTTTTGCGACAAGTTCAACAGGAGAAAGAATCTTAAGTATGTTTTAATTTTTGAATCTGTATTGTTTACAATATCATCAAAACAGTACCTTTTGGAAGTACGCTTATCACTTACATACAGATTCTTTTGGAAGATAGCCAAGAAACTATCATAATATGATAAGACGAGAACACTTCCAAAATAACATTTAAGTTAGTTAGTCCGCTCTCTCCAACCTACACAATAGATTAAGTAAACAAAACCAACATCATGCAGCTTACAGCTTTCATCACCCACAAACCTCACCCACAAATAATTGACCTTAAAGCTAATATGGTCCAACTGGAGGAATATCTACAAAAACACATTCACAAATGTCAAATTATACTGCACCAATAAAAAATAAAAAAATAAAAAATAAAAAACAAACATTTCTCTAATTTGTAACATCTACAAATTCTGCAAAACTTCTCATCTAGACAGCCATTCTGGGGAAATAATCTCAAACTAATCACACTTTTCATCATCAATTATGATCTGTGTACAGTACAAACTGCACAACTAATAAAAAGGAAAGTCTCATGAACAGACAGAACCAATGGCATCATCAGTATTTGCATGTCATTAATGTAATTCAGACCTTTTCTTGGTGTTTAGAAACAATAATGTTAAAAAACGAAACATATTTAAAACCAAATCATAATAAGGAAAATTATCAGTACTTTGACTCTGACAATATATCTGAAACATCATAAGGTTAAAGAAAATAATAGTCTTGGTTCTCATGCAACACCCGCATCATCATAAAGTCTGCAGCATGTTTTGTTTTTATTTCCAAATTAAATAAATTTATAAAAATACTTAAACACAGTGCACAACGAAAATTGAAAATGGAAACGAAGACGAAACATGCAATGAACTTTATGATGATGTGGGCAGTGCCTGAGAAGCAAGACTTATTTTGTTTGGCCTAACAAAGAATATTCAAAATGTGAAATATATAATAATTCATTCTTTGACTCTTTTGTCTGATTACAGATGTGACAGAATCTCTGCAACTCATGACTGACATGAATATGATTTTAGTGTTTGGTGACCTGGCAAGAAATCAAAGCGTTGCACTCGGTCCAAGAGCAGAATTTGATTCTGTGTCACAGAGCGCGTACAGCAGAGATATTCCTGATGTCGATCTAACTTCCCTCGCTTCTGCTGTCCCAAAACATCTGTGTACCCAAGAAAAGGTTCGGTTCATGGAGCTCGCAGTGGTCTCACTACCTACACAGTGTATGTATTAAAAAAACTGTTGGTATTGTATTCTTTTAAAATTAGAATCCTGAGAAATTTACTTTCAAAGCTTAATCAATTCTGCTGTAAAATACATTGAATATTTTCACTATTTGATACCTTTGACGGTTAGGGGTTTCAAGGTCAGAATACGTCTCCAGTGGCTCATATTTGTCATGAGAACCGACTACAATTGAGATCTGACTCACTGACTTGTCAGATTGTGTGTCATTGTGGTCTAACAACAGGCACACACTCACACTCTCATATTTGCAGTTTTAACTCATCAGCATTTGCAATGCCTGGTGTCTTTTCATACTCACACACTTGTATATTCCATGTGATGTATTTTGCTTTAATATATAATGTTTACTAATAATTTCATAAATTTTATTCAGTTAGTCCTAAATTGGGTTCGATTATTCCAGCTCGGACACAAAGCTGCTTTGATGCTGTCAACAAACAGACAACCCTAACAGGTAAAATAAGCAAATACCTGTACATTATATAATTGAGATTCAGGGGCAGGTTCATGAAAAAATTACATTGAAACAGGGGAGATTGCCAGAATTTATCACAACAATGAGGGAGTGGGGGCATAAGAAAATAATAGTTCTATTTTTTTAAATTTGAAATTTCTACAATATTTAGGGGCTGCTCATTTATTAGGGGTAAAATATGATAGTCCTAAGACCAATTTGAACGGTCCCACTTCCCCTTTAATAAACCATCAAATTTCAGTTATCAGTATCATTTATAGTAGCTTGGCATTGAAGATATATGGCGTTGGTTTATTTACTAATTATTATCTTTTATTTTACAGATTATCAAGCGGGTGAAGCACAAGTGCAACCAGTGTTGTCGAACCCTAGATTCGTAACACAGAAGGACAAAGAAGCTACTTATACTTTGATTGACATATATGGTAGTTCTGAAATTAGAAAGTTGATTGGAGATAAGAAAACCAAGTCAAAATATGTTTTTGAATTAATAGCGCAACAGATGGAGGAGAAATGATTCTTGATTTCAGACAGGGCTGAAAAGGCTTGGGAACGATGTGCCCCAAAATGGAGAAACTTGGAGAGATCGTTTGAAGACTATATTTTCCATCAAAACAAGACAGGAGCAGGAAAGAAGAAGAAGCCAGATTTTTTCGATGAATTGTATTCCATCATTGGACAGAAACACACTGTAAGTCCTGTGGCACTTAGTGACACATCTGTACCTGGTGACACATTTGAACAGATGAACTTTGACTTCACATCAAACAGCTCCTTTGAGAAAAGCTGTCACAAATGATAATCAGGTCAAGGATGCTGACTGCCAAGAAGCACCATCAACAGGAAAAGCTAAAGCAAAGAAGAGGAAGCTGACAGTTGTTACAGAGCTGCTTCATCAGTATAGAGAGGAGGATCTCCAACTAGAAATGGAAAGGGAACAGAAAGAACAGGTTCGCTTTGATGAGCTGAAAACACTTTTGGTAGGTCAGCATCAGGATCGCATGAAAGCCATGTATGCACTTATTGATGCCTTGAAAAATAAAACATAAAGCATGATATGTTAACATTCTTGGATGTTAAATATGCTCTCATCCTCCAATTATTTGCACTGTTAAATAACCTGGATGTTAGTTACCATGGTTACCTGATCATGCTGATTGCATCACATGTCG